ACTATCTAGCTTATAGCTAAGTAGCTAGGACTCCTAAGACCTTAAGATACTAACTATAGCACTAGATAGTATATAAAGTACTAGTTTTCTTAAAAAAAGGATTTAGTAGTATTAAGGTAGCTTACTAATAGTAATATATAAGATTATTAACTTTTAAGCTAAAGGTATTAGTAAGTTAGTATATAAGCTTACTTTTATTAAGACTAAGAAGAAAAAGTATTATATAATAATAAAGATACTAAGTAAGCACTAGAAAGTAAAAAAGACCTAACTATATCTTAGAGAATTACTTAATACTGTTAAAGTAAAGGCACTATAGGTAGAAAAAGGTAGTATTAATACTAAAAAAGAAAATAACCTTTTAAATAAAAGATATATAAAAGGTACTAAACTATATATATAATAATATAGTAATTATAAAAAGACTAAATATAATATATAAACTTATTAAGTAGTTTAAAATAGTAATAAGAAAGAAGGTAATAAGTAGTTTTAATTAATTTTATATAATATAGCTAAATAAACTTATAAAGAAAGTAAAAAGGTAAAAGAATATATATAACTTACTATAATGTATAACTTACTATATAGGTATATTACTTTAAAAATAAAAAAAAGTTATTCTTTATTATATATAGAATTTATGTTTATATTTTGTTTTTTAAATTTCTTACTATATAAGTACTTTAATAAGCTAAAGTACTTAGTATTAAGAAGCTAAAGCTTATATAATAAGTAAGAAGATATATAAAAGTAATAATATTTTAGTTTTATAGTATTTATTAAAGTTAGTTAATTTATAACTATTATAGTTATTTATTATAACTTAGAAAGAACTACCTTTATAGCTTTAAAGTAATAAGGAGGACTAACAGACTAATAAGCCTAAAAGGCTATTAATATAAATAGGTTAAGCCTAAAGTAAAAGAACTATAGACTAAGTTATATAATATATAACTAATAAGAAAAATAATTACTTATAAGTAAGAAATTACTTTAAGTAATTATTATTTAAATAAGGTAAGTAGGAACTATAATTACCTTAGGTAAGGTAATTACCTTAGTTAGTAACCTATATATAAAAAGGCCTAGGCCTCTGGCCTTATATTATGCTTATAGAACTATTGTTAGGAACGATTATTATTTTGGCTTGTTACATTATTAGCTAATTGCCTTTTAGCTATATAACTATAATTACACCTATGCTTAGGTGCGCTACCACCCTCTAAGTTCTAATTTATTTACTATAACTACTAACCTTTTCTAAAATTAACGTCTGCTAATTTAGTCTAGAAGCTGTTACTCTGCTGCTGTTAGTAAAATCCTAGTATATTAGCTTAGCCTTGCATAACCTACCTATTTTTGCTATTATTAAAGCAGGCCTTTATTTTATCTATTAGCTTAATTACCTAGGCTGCTGTATCTATAACGTCCCTAAAGTACTATAGGTTTTTAGGCTAGGTAAAGCTGTTAATCTTATTAATAGTCTTTAATAACTTAGGATTAGCTTAATATTTCTGTTTCTTTAAGTTTGTTCTTTAATAGTTTCTGTTTATTATAAGAAGCCTTAGACTAAAGATAGCTACGTTAAGCTTTATATTAGCTATTAGGTAGAGGAAAGAGGTCCTCTTGTTAACAGCCCTAAGGCTAATTAATTTTATAAAGGCGCCTGTATACAGTAGATCTCTATAGGTAGTATATAAAGCATAGTGATCTCTAGGCTACAGTAGAGACTATAGGTTAAGAATAGTAGCCCTTAAAGACATCTTAAAGCTGTAAGTAGATAGTATAGATAGAATAGTTAATATTATAAAATAAAGATTAGGATTAATCTAGAGTTAAACATAAGGTATAAGATAAAAGTATAGCTTACAGGCTTTATATATTAGTTACTTAAGCTGTAAGGTTTTTATAACCTTAGTAGTAGGTTTAGTAAAGCTATTATTATATAGGTTACTTAAGCTGTAAGGTTTTTATAACCTTAGTAGTAGGTTTAGTAAAGCTATTGTTAGTTACTTAAGCTATAAGGTTTTTGTAACCTTAGTAGTTACTTTAACTAAGCTATTATTAGCTATAGCTAAAGCTATCTATAGCTATAGTTAATATAAGGTTTAAACTAGTAGTTAATTTACACTATTAGGTACTTTATACTATATTAAGATATTAAGATTTAGTATAGGCTAAAGGTGCTGTATTATTAGGTTATACATACTGTAATTTCCTTTTCTATAGGGTAAGCTATACTAGACTGCTTATAGAGGACTAGAATAATTACTTATACTAAATATAAAAAGGCCTTAAGCCTACTTAAGTTCTAACTTCTATAGCTTTTTAGTAATTAACTTTATAATTTATCTTACTATAAGTAACTCTTAATTATTCTTTTATTATAAAGCTATATAAGCTACTTATACCTACTTAGTATTTAACTAATTACTATTTACTTACTAGTAAGACGTTAGTAAGCTACTAAGCTAATAAGACTTAGTAGTATTATTATTAGTATATAGCCTTAGCTACTTATTAGTAAAAAACACTACTATTAAATATCTAACTAAAATAAAGTATTTTAAAAAGAAGAAATAAGTACTTTAAAAAGAAAAAGCTAAATACTTTAGAAAGAAAAAACTAAGTATCTCTAAAAAAGAATGTATCTTAAAAAGGTAAAACTACTTACCTTAAAAAAGAAAAACTAAGTACCTTAGAAAAAGAAAACTTAGTACTTTAGAAAGATAAAGCTAAGTACCTTAAAAAAAAAAAGCTAAATATTCTAAATAAAAAGTAATACTAAGAAATTTATTAAAGGTTATATATTAAGTAAAATAAAGTAAAGTTATTAAATAGACTTTTTTATATATAAGAGAATTCCTTAGTATAATTATATAAAGATAAATATAAGGTAAACTAAAGATATTATTTTTATAACTATTTTTTCTAACTACTAACTTACCTTTTATATAAGTAGATATATCTAGCTTATATATTATAAGTTAGTTTAGACTAAGCCTTTATAAACCTTTTAGTTAAAACACCCTAAGTACTAAGTATTTAGTTTATATACTCTCTCTTTCTTAAGTATTATGTAGTTATATAATAGTATTATTCTAACAAAAGTAAAGTAAAGTATACTATTTTAGTATAGTATATACTAAGAGGTATGTTTTAAAAACGTACTATAGAGTACTAAAAAGCGTTTTTCTTACTAAGAGACAGAGGGTGTTTTTAGTTTTTAAGAGGGAGACTTTTTTTTCTCTTTTTAAAAGTAGGTATAAAATAAGTAAAAAAAGGTAAAATAAAGGTATTTCTATCTTTATAAGTATATCTATCTAAAGGTAAGCATAAGAGAGGTAGAGTAAGATAGTATAAAGTAAAAGGTATAGGTTTACATAAGGTAGAATACTAAAGAGAGAAAAATAGGTATACTGTGTTTTAAAAAGAGAAAGGTAGGTAAGTAAGTAAGAATATAGTAAAGACTTCTAAATAATAAAGTAAAGTTTATAAAGAAGAGTATAGTAGTCTTTAATAGACCTACTTAGACTATAGTATCCTTAAGCTAGATAGATAGGTAAGGTTAGATACCTTAAGAGACATATACTACTTACCTTTAGAGTATAAGTGCGCTAGAGAAAAGTAAGTACTCTAGAAGAGAAAGCACCCTAGAAGAGAAAAGCTAGGTACCCTTAGAAAGGCAAAACTAAGTACCCTAGAAGAAGAAAACTAAGTACCCTAGAAGAGGAAAACTAGGTACCTTAGAAAGGTAAAGCTAAGTACCTTAAAAAGGAAAAACTAAGTACCCTAAAAGAGGAAAGCTAAGTACCCTAGAAAGAAAAAAGGTACCTTAGAAAGGTAAGTAACTAATGTAGTAGCTAGCGGCCTTAAGCTGTAGGGTGTCTCTTAGTAAGTATAGTGCACCCTGCCTTATGCCTGTAGCGCCTGTAGTAGGTAAGAAAATTACCTCTAAAGTTTAAAAAACTAGTGGTTAGGCGTTTACCCTACTGCCTTAGGGCAGGCAGGTAGGTAAGGCTTATAAAGCCTATTGCGGTAGTTATAGAACAGTAAGAACCTCTGCTATAGGCACCGTACTACCTAAGATACAGCAGCATAAAGTTAGGTAGGCAGGCGTAAGTACCTTAGAAAGGAAAACTAAGTACCTTAGAAGAGAAAAAAAGTACCCTAGAAGGGTGGCATAGGTATAGTAGGCGGCGCTAGTAAGTAATTAGTAATAGTAATAATGTAGTTAGTTAATAGGCATACTATAGAGGTGTGTATAAGATTAAATAAGGTTTTAGTAGCTATAAGTTAATTTTTTTATTTTCTTATATAAATCTTTTTTTTAGGAAATATTTTTTTAGGGAAAAACCTAGTAAAGCAGGGTTAAAGCCTAAAAAGTGTTATAAGGCCTATAAGAAGAAAGTAAGTGTAGCTAACTAGTAGTATAGCGTAACTACTTTACCTAAAGAGGGTGTACGCTATAGAAATATAGTGTAACTATTCTATATTTTTAGACTACTATGTAGTATCTCTTTATATAGCCTTATAGGCCTTAGGCCTTAGTTATAGAGAGTTTTATAGTAGCAGTTACCTCTTACTATAGTAGCTACCTAGGCAGTCTGCTAATCTAAGGTTACCTAGCGGGATTAAAGGTCTTTAGGCCCTTAGTCCTAAAGAATAAGCTTTATAGATAGATAGCTACTAGCTATACTTATACTAAGCATTAGAAGATAAACGTCTGTAGTTAGATACTAAATAGCTAAAGCCGTAAGGTTAGTTTCTTTCTTAGGCCTCTTAACTATATAACCCCCCTAGGGGCATAGCGTAGTAAATAGTATACTCTAAGGAATTTAAAGAGAGAAGGTAGAAGCCTTTAGAGCGCTATAGCCTAGCTAACTAGTTATCTTAGTAAGTATAAGCGTTATTTTAGTAACGTAAGTAATTCTAGTAACTAAACTTCTTTAGCTACTACTTATAGTGCTAATAGCTAACTCTAGTGTATAATAGTTACCTAGTTAATTCTGCTAGTAGTTATATACTTATCTTAAAGATTAAGTTATATATATCTAAGTATAAGTAATTATATAGTAAAACTATAAATAGCTTATTATATAAGTTATTATTTATTTAATAGTACCTTACTACTTAGATAACTATAGTAATTCTAAAGCTAATACATACTAAAAATCCTAACTTTAGAAGGAATATATTTATTAGATTAAAAACTAATGCTCTTTAGGGCTTACTAGTAATTTATAATAACTTCTTAAATTATATAGCCTTATGCTAGCAATAGTTTATTTAAATTTCTTCCTTATTAACTTTTAATACTAAAGTAGTTTCTAGCATAGTTACAATAGGTAACAGAGGGTTAAGGCTTAACCCTAAAGAAGAAGCCTAAGAAATAGCTACTATATCTAAGGAAGGCAGTAGGCACGCAAATTACCTAATTCTAACATAAAGAGGTAGTAATAATAAATACTAATATAAGGCTCTTTTAAGTCTTATAATTAGAATAAGTATAATTTAAATCTCTTAATAAGAAATAATTAAAAGGTAAGTCTGGTGCTAGTAGCTACAGTAATTTTAGCTTTAATAGCGTATATTAAAGTTATTATAGTTAAAAAGCTTATAGTAGAACCTTAGGCCTAGCTAGCTAGTCTGCCTTACTATATATACTAGTCTAGCTAGGCCTTTCTCTTTATAAAACTACATACCTTTACTAGGTGTACTAGAAAAACAGGACTTTTACTTTAAAAAAATTAAAGTACTCTAGGCAGGCCTATGCTTAAATACATTAGCATAAAATAATAGAATAAGACGTATGGTTTTATTTTGTTAGTTTCTAAGACTACTGTAATAATTAATAAGGATAGTTAGAGGCATTAGTATTTAATTATTAAAGGTAAAATTCTTAGATTTATTAAAGACTAACTACTATAAAAGTATTTACTAAGGATGTTTTTATTTATTAGGAACAAAAGTTAGAGGATTAAAGATAATTAGATACTATTATAGTCTTAACTATAAACTATACTAACTAGGGATTAGATAATGTTATTTTTTAACTTATTTAGCACCTTATAAGAAATTAAAGTGCTTAGGCTTTAGGGGGAGTATAGTCGTAAGGCTAAAACTTAAAGAAATTAACAAAAGGGTACTACTAGGGGTAAAGCCTGTAGCTTAATTTAACTTAACATAGAGAAACTTACTAGGTCTAGATATAATAAGGATTAACAGATTAAAAGCTCTTTCTTAATTTTGTAGGTAGTAGTATATAGCCGTTCTTAGTTAGTAAAGTAATTTATCTACTTAATTATAATAATAAATAAGACCTTAACTTACTAAATAGCCTGTATTACTTTAGTAGTATGCTAGCTTCTTAGAGGGACTATTAGCTTAAGCTAATAGAAGTTTAAGGTAATAATAGGTCTATAATACCTTTAGATATTCTAGGCTATATACGCGTTATACTAATAAAGCTAGTAAGTACTTTTTTAGCTAGAAGGCCTAGGTAATCTTATTAAACTTTGTTATACTAAGGATAAAGCATTATAATTATTACTTTTTAATAAGGAATCCTTAGTAAGCATAAGTTATTAGCTTGTGTTAATTACGTCTCTACCCTTTATATATACTGCCTATTACTACTACTAATTAAATAGCTTAGTAAGGCTTTTAGACTAGCCTAGAGAGGTAGGTAACTACTACTTAGGGCTAGAAAGTTATCTAAACTTAGTTATTTAGAGAAAGTAAAAGTTATAATAAGGTCTCTGTTAGTAAACTAGTAGAGAGATTATTACTAAGTTACTACTTTATAACCCTTTATAAATATACCTAACTATTACTTTAGTAGGCAGGGGGTCCTCTTAGGAATGCCCTCCTGGCTACGCCCTTTATAAGGTAAGACACCTACTAAAGGATACTAAACTCTATTTTAATAATGTTTCTTCTAAGTAGCATAAGTAAATAATTAAAACTTTTAATAATAGATCTCTTAGTTTTAGTATTAATAAAGAACGTAGCAAAATGTAATAAGTAATATAAATTACAGAATTTAGTAAATTATTAAATCTTTAAATACATATTACGCCTACTAGCATTCTAGCAGGCATGCTTGTTTAAGCGTTATTTTAACCCTTAAGCTCTGCTTAGTGTTAGGGCCCTATGGTTAACGTAGGCCCTTAAAGGTAGTAGCAGACTTTCTTAAAGCCTCCTTTACGTAGTAACTAACGTCTTACATTAGGATTTAAAGGGACTCTTACTATAAAACCCCTTAATTTTCTAATAGTTAACCTTAGATTAGGTAGGAATACTTACTAAACTTAAGTATATTAATAAGTAGAAGAAAAGAAACTAATAGGGATTACCTTAGTAATAGTAAGTAAAGCAGTAATAGCTTAAATTTAAAATCTAGCCTTAGGCCTAAGTTATAATTTACAAAGGATGCTTTTAGCGTAGTACCTTCTAAGTTCTCTAGAATAAGACGCTATAAAGGGTAAAAGCCTTATATAGTTAGATACTAAGCCTTTTAAAGCTTTTTTAATAAGTTAAGTAGTTTAAGAATACTACTTAAAATAAGAGGTATATTTCTTCTAAAGCTAAATATTAGCTAGAGACTAATAGTGCATAAGTAAAGTAATTAAAAGATAAAAGTACTTTAAAAAAAGATTAAATAGTATGTAAATTATTAAAAGGGAAGTACTTATAACTAGACTTACGCCTAGTAAATTACCTAGCTTTTATAGCTAAAGCACTTTACTAGCATAGGCTAGCATTAGCTTACTATTAAGGATAAAAGCTTTAGGAATATAGCTTTCTTTAGGAAGTGTTATAGCCTGTTATATAATACCCTTTGTAGGCTAAGGTATATACTTTATAAGAATGCTAGCATAATAGTTATTAGCAACCTATCTTAAAACATAGACTAAGGAGTTAACCTTATGTATAAGTGTTTAGGTATTAAACCTTTATGCATAATAAAAGTAAACGTAGGTAAAAGCTTTAGTATATTATTAACTAATCTTAATGTTCTTAGATAGATTTAAGTAAGAGTATATAGAGTTAGACCTAAAGAAGGTAAACTATGTATATATAAGGTAAAGCTAGAGAAAACTTTAGTAAAAGCTTATAGCGGTTTTAACGTATAAATTAATTATTAAATATATACATAAAGGTAAAAGACTAATTAAACCTTTAGTAGCTAGTTTCTGCTAAAGTTTTCTTTAGGATAGTAGTATTAAACTTAGTTTTATAAGGTAAAGTAAATAATTAGAGACTTAGGGGCGCTATATTACCTTTATTTATTTTTAAACTTTAAATATATAAGAAGCCCTTATTACTTAATTAAACATAGGTATTTAAATATATTAACACTAGTAGGCCATTTTTAGTAAGCAGAACTAGTGAATACAGGATAAACTAAACGTAAGGTTAAAGTACTAAAGTAGTTACTTATTAGATACTACAAAAGGTGTTAGTATATCTTAATAGCAGGATGGTAGCTATAGAAGTTAGAATCTACTAAGGACTATATAATAACTTACTTACTAAATATACTAGCCTTAAAAATAGATAGCGCTTAAGTAACTTACCTATACCTTACCTTTAGTGTAAAACAATATGCTAAGAAGTAGGTAGACGTAGAAGTTAGTAATAAAGCCTAAGGCGTAAGCCTAGGTAGAACAGCCTTTAGTATAATCTTAGTAGTAGTAGTAAATACTTTAATAAGAACTTAAAAGACTAAAGTAAGAAAAGGTTTTATATAAACAGTAGTTAGATATAGGTTAGTTAATCTTAAGCTATAGGGAAGTTCTGTTTTAAAGAGGTACTTATGCTCTATATAGTAAAAGGGAAGCTAGTTAATATTCTAGACCTAGATATAGGTTTTACATAGTAACGTAACTAAATATAGAGATAATAGCAGGGGCCTTAGGTAGAGTTCTCTTTTCTTTTAACAGTCTATTACCTTAAAATTAGTTTATCTAAAGCTAGGGTTTAATAGCTAGAAGAGCCTAGTACTTCTGTTAAGTCTAGTATACTTTTAATATCTCTTAAAAATCTATAAGAAGGAATAATTCTTACGCTAGGTTATACTTATAACTATAGTAGGTCTCTAAGGTAAACAGCCTCTAGTTAATAGAATAATATAGATAAGAGAAGTTAGTAAAATAGATCTATAACTTTAGGATAAAGATTAGCTTTAAGGGTTAGGTACGTTAGGCTTTAGGTAGATAGCTTAAGAGTAAGTTACTACTAGCTAGGTAACTAGCTAAAGGCTTCTAGTATCTAGGTTCTAACGTCTTTAGTAGGCTTTAGCTATCTAGCGTATAGTTAATAACTAACTTAGAACTAGTATAGATAAGGGAAATCTAACTATCTAATTAAAACATAGTATTATAATAGCTAGAAAGTAGTGTTAACATAATATAATTTCTGCCTAGTGCTTTAAATATTAAAGTAAAGTAATTTAACTAAGCGTAGGTAAACAGCAGGAGTAACTATACTTTCTTAAGGTAGCTAAATGCCTTGTTATCTAATTAGTAGACCGTATAAATAAATTAATAAGATTCCTACTGTCTCTATCTACTATCTAGTAAAACTATAGCTAAGGGAACAGGCTTAGTAGAATTAGTAAGGAAAGAAGACCTTGTTAAGCTTAACTTTAGTTTAACATTATAAAAGATATAGAAGGTGTAAATAGGTAGAAGCTTTAGCGCTAGTAAAATACTACTACTCTTATTGTTTTTTTACTTATTTAATAAAGTAGGGCTAGATTTATCTAACTTCTGGTTTTAAGGTCTTTACAGGCTAACCTAGGTTAAAGATATTGTTAGGTAGAGAGTTTAGCTAGGGTAGTATATCTGTTAAACTATAATGTAGGTGTCCTAAGGGGGGCTTATAGAGAACAGAAATCTTTAGTAGAATAAAAGGGTAAAAGTCCTCTTAATTTTAATTTTTAGTGTAATACAAACTATAAAGTGTAGCTTATTAATTCTTTAGTCCTTAAAATTTAAGGCTAGAGGTACTAGAAAAGTTACTATAGAGATAACTAGCTTGTGGTAGCTAAGCGTTTATAGTAACGTTACTTTTTAATTCTTTAATGTTAGCTCTTCTTATTATACCTAAAGTAGAATTTAGTAAGCGTTAGATTGTTTACTTACTAATAAGGAATGTAAGCTAGGTTTAGACTGTTGAGACAGGTTAGTTTTATCTTACTAATGACCTTATTATAATAGTAATTAAGCTTAGTATAAAGAGAACTGCTTATTTAGATAATTAGTTTTTGTAGCTATCTAACTAGGTAGTGCTGTAATACTACTATCTACTAGATAATAGCTAAACGCCTCTAAGTTAGAATCTATGCTAGAATGTAATAATACCTTCTGTATGTAAATAGATATAAATAGGCTTTAGCTTAGCGTTTTAGTAGGTAATTACTTTACTACTCTTAAGTAAGTAGTAGTATTTGTAAATTATAATTTAGTATAAGTAGGGTTAAATCCTTTATAGATAACTTAGATATACAAAAGGGTCCTATAAGCAGTAGAGTAGCCTTATTATTACAATCTGCTAAGGGTAAGCCCTTTTTCCTTAATTTTCTTATAAACTTTAGCAGCCTTTAGCCAGGAGAACATAAGGTAACTTAATAGATAAGAGACGTAAGAGGCTGTACAACGTTTAGTGCGTAGCTAAGTCTCTTCTTAGGAAGATAAGTACCCTAGAAGAGATACTAGTATATATATCTAACTAGGACGGCTGCTATAGCTAAGTTCGTTTATAATACGCTAAGTACCTTAGAAGAGAATTATGTAGCTACTAGGTACCCTAAAAAGCAGAGAGGTAGGTACACTAGATAATGTTACCTAGGAAAGTAAAGCACCCTAGGACAGGAAAGAAGTACCCTAGAAGAAGGGAATAAAGCACTGTGGGAGGGTAAGTGCCTTAGAAAGGAGAACTAAGGACCCTAAAGAGAAAAGCTAGGTACCCTGGAAAGAAGAAACCAAGTACCCTGGAAGGGAAAAGCTAGGTACCCTGGAAAGAAGAAACCAAGTACCCTGGAAAGGAAAAGCTAAGTACCCTGGAAGAGGGGCGGCACTAAGGGATTTATCGGGAAATATATGTTAAGTAGGATAGAGTAGGGTAAGGTAAAGCATACTATTTCGGTATAGTGTATACTAAGGGGTATATTTTAAAAACGTACTATAGGGTACTAAAAAGCGTTTTTCTTACTAAGAGACAGAGGGTGTTTTTAGTTTTTAAGAGGGAGACTTTTTTTTCTCTTTTTAAAAGTAGGTATAAAATAAGTAGAAAAAGGTAAAATAAAGGTATTTCCATCTTTATAAGTATATCTATCTAAGGGTAAGCATAAGAGAGGTAGAGTAAGATAGTGTAAAGTAAAAGGTATAGGTTTACATAAGGTAGAATACTAAAGAGAGAAAAACAGGTATACTGTGTTTTAAAAAGAGAAAGGTAGGTAAGTGAGTAAGAATATAGTAAAGACTTCTAAATAATAAAGTAAAGTTTATAAAGAAGAGTATAGTAGTCTTTAATAGACCTACTTAGACTATAGTATCCTTAAGCTAGATAGATAGGTAGGGTTAGATACCTTAAGAGACATACACCACTTACCTTTAGAGTATAAGTGCGCTAGAGAAGAGTAAGTACCCTGGAAGAGAAAGCACCCTGGAAGAGGAAAGCTGGGTACCCCTGGAAAGGCAAAACTAAGTACCCTAGAAGAGGAAAACTAAGTACCCTGGAAGAGGAAAACTAGGTACCCTGGAAAGGCAAAGCTAAGTACCCTGGAAAGGAAAAACCAAGTACCCTGGAAGAGGAAAGCCAAGTACCCTGGAAAGGAAAAAGGTACCCTGGAAAGGCAAGCGACCGGTGCAGCGGCCAGCGGCCTCAAGCTGTAGGGCGTCTCTCAGCGAGTACGGTGCACCCTGCCCCGTGCCCGTGGCGCCTGTGGCGGGCGAGGAAATCGCCTCTGAAGTTCGAAAAACCGGCGGTTGGGCGCCCACCCCACCGCCCCGGGGCGGGCGGGCAGGCGAGGCTTATAGAGCCCATCGCGGCGGTCACAGAACAGTAGGGACCCCCGCCGTAGGCGCCGTACCGCCCGAGATACGGCGGCGCGAAGTCGGGCGGGCGGGCGCAAGTACCCTGGAAGAGGAAAACCAAGTACCCTGGAAGAGAAAAAAAGTACCCTGGAAGGGCGGCGCGGGCACGGCAGGCGGCGCCAGCAAGCAATTGGCGACGGCGACGACGTGGTCGGCCGACGGGCATACCGTGGGGGTGCGTGCGGGATCGGATAAGGTTTTGGTGGCCGTGAGTCGATTTTTTTGTTTTCCCATACAAATCTTTTTTTCGGGAAATGTTTTTTCGGGGGAAAACCCGGTGGAGCGGGGTTGGGGCCCAAAAAGTGTCGCAGGGCCTATGAGAAGAGAGCGAGTGCAGCCAACCGGCGGCACAGCGCAACTACTCCACCCAAAGAGGGTGCGCGCTGTAGAAATACAGCGCAACCGTCCCATATCTTTCAGACTACTACGTGGTGTCTCTCTGTACAGCCTTGCAGGCCCCAGGCCTCGGTCGCGGAGAGTTTCATAGCAGCAGTCGCCCCCCACTGCGGTGGCCGCCCAGGCGGTCCGCCAATCTGGGGTTGCCCGGCGGGATTAGGGGTCTTCGGGCCCCCAGTCCCGAAGGATGGGCTCTGTGGATGGATGGCCGCTGGCTATACTTACACTGAGCATCGGGAGATAAACGCCCGCGGTCGGACGCTGAATAGCTGAAGCCGCGGGGTCAGTTTCTCCTCTCGGGGCCCCCTAACCACGCAACCCCCCCGGGGGCACAGCGCGGTGAACGGTGCGCTCTGGGGAATTTAGAGGGGGAAGGTGGAAGCCTCCAGGGCGCCGTCGGCCTAGCCGACCGGTCGTCCTGGCAGGCGCGAGCGTTGTTTCGGCAGCGCGAGCGATTCCGGTAACTAAACTTCTTCGGCCGCTGCTTGCAGCGCCGATGGCCAACCCCGGCGCACGATAGTTACCTGGTTGATTCTGCCAGTAGTCATATGCTTGTCTCAAAGATTAAGCCATGCATGTCTAAGTATAAGCAATTATACAGCGAAACTGCGAATGGCTCATTATATAAGTTATCGTTTATTTGATAGTACCTTACTACTTGGATAACCGTGGTAATTCTAGAGCTAATACATGCTAAAAATCCCGACTTCGGAAGGGATGTATTTATTAGATTAAAAACCAATGCCCTTCGGGGCTCACTGGTGATTCATAATAACTTCTCGAATCGCATGGCCTTGCGCCGGCGATGGTTCATTCAAATTTCTTCCCTATCAACTTTCGATGCTAGAGTAGTGTTCTAGCATGGTTACAACGGGTAACGGAGGGTTAGGGCTCGACCCCGGAGAAGGAGCCTGAGAAACGGCTACTACATCCAAGGAAGGCAGCAGGCGCGCAAATTACCCAATCCCGACACGGGGAGGTAGTGACGATAAATACTGATACAGGGCTCTTTTGGGTCTTGTAATTGGAATGAGTACAATTTAAATCCCTTAACGAGGAACAATTGGAGGGCAAGTCTGGTGCCAGCAGCCGCGGTAATTCCAGCTCCAATAGCGTATATTAAAGTTGTTGTGGTTAAAAAGCTCGTAGTAGAACCTTGGGCCTGGCTGGCCGGTCCGCCTCACCGCGTGCACTGGTCCGGCCGGGCCTTTCCCTCTGTGGAACCGCATGCCCTTCACTGGGTGTGCCGGGGAAACAGGACTTTTACTTTGAAAAAATTAGAGTGCTCCAGGCAGGCCTATGCTCGAATACATTAGCATGGAATAATAGAATAGGACGTGTGGTTCTATTTTGTTGGTTTCTAGGACCGCCGTAATGATTAATAGGGACAGTCGGGGGCATCAGTATTCAATTGTCAGAGGTGAAATTCTTGGATTTATTGAAGACTAACTACTGCGAAAGCATTTGCCAAGGATGTTTTCATTTATCAGGAACGAAAGTTAGGGGATCGAAGACGATCAGATACCGTCGTAGTCTTAACCATAAACTATGCCGACTAGGGATCGGACGATGTTATTTTTTGACTCGTTCGGCACCTTACGAGAAATCAAAGTGCTTGGGCTCCAGGGGGAGTATGGTCGCAAGGCTGAAACTTAAAGAAATTGACGGAAGGGCACCACCAGGGGTGGAGCCTGCGGCTTAATTTGACTCAACACGGGGAAACTCACCAGGTCCAGACACAATGAGGATTGACAGATTGAGAGCTCTTTC